CGGGGCGGGGCGGGGCCTCAGCTGCACTTGCAGGAGCGCACGATCATGTTGGACAGCTGCTCCACTTTGGGCTTGCGGCCCACGTAGTACACGATGGGCAGCGGCTCCAGCGCCTGCGGCACGCAGCACGGCGCCGCCGACGCGCCCGGGTTGTGCTGGTTGTACAAGGCCAGGACCTGCGGGGCGGGGCCGCGGGCGGAGTCAGCGGGAGGGGACCCCCACCCCGCTCTCAGGGCCTCTCCGCGGGCCTCTGGCTCCCTGCCCCCGCCTGTGTCTACGCTTCTGCGCGTGCTGTCCGCCCCCCACCTTCCTGGCATGCTTTCTCGATCTCTTTCCTGTCGGGTCCCTACACGTGCCCCAGTGTTTCCAAAGCTGTGGGCTACAGGGCCCGCCGACTGGCACCGCTTTCGAACCACTGACCTTTCGCTTAGCGGCCGAGCTCTTTAACCACTGCGCCACCAACGCTCCTTTGTTGTTTCCAACTCTCGGCTTGTCTCTGCTCTTACTGCCTTGCAGTTTCCTCCTGCCTTTTCCTTCCTCATTCTCTCTCTCTCTCTCTCTCTCTCTCTCTCTCTCTGTCTCTGTCTCTCTCTCTCTCTCTCTCTCTCTCTGTGTCTCTCTTCCTGTTCCCTCACCTCCTCTTCCCTCACCTCCTCTCTCTACCTCTGACGGTTTCCTCCGCGCTCTATCTTCCTCTGCCTTGGTTTCTCCCAGGCCGCTCAGACCCTATTTCTACCTTCTCGCCTCCCCCCAATCTCTGTGTCTCTCACTCTGTGCCCCCCGACCACCACCAATTCATCTCTCCAAATGTACCTCTTTTTTCCTCCACCCACCCCACCCCCCAACTCCATCCCTGCTCCCTGCACCCAGGCCCCCCCGGCCCTGCGGAGCAGCGCACCTTGCTGTACTGGGTGTCCAGGCTCCAAATGTATGGGCAGGGCCCCAGGCAGAAGTTGGCATGGTAGCCCTTGGGCTCGTGGATCCACTTCCAGCCCAGGTCCTTGCGGAAGTCGATGTACAGCTGCCGGACACAACAGTTCTTCTCCGTGGAGCTGCGGGACAGGAGGGCAGGGACATGGCTGCGTGGGAGGGCGTGGGGCAGCCTGTGGCCCTTCCTCCCCCAGTGGGTGTCCTGGCTCGCCCCCCCCCACCAAACCCATCACCGTCTTGGTCTCCCTTGCACCCCCTGTGGCCACAACCACCACCACAGTCCTAGTAATGGGGGTCAGGCGCTCACAACGATTGAGCACTTCCGCTCCTGTGTGAAGACTGGTCCATCGCTTCCAAATAAGCCTGGAAGAAGCCGCGGACCATCCAGGGGAGGGCTCACGAAACCGCGCAGAGCCACACAAACACACGGGAGCTCTGGACAAAACCAAAACACCAAACTCACCTGCACGGAGTCAACCCTGACTCAGAGCGACCCTGCAGCGCAGGGTCGAAAGAATTGTCCCTGGGGGGTCCCGTGGCTTCCAGTCTTTAAGGGAGTGGAAAGCCTCATCTTTCACCGGTGAAGTAGCTGGTGGGTTGGGATGGCTGACCTCACCGTGATGAGCTCATTGCCTAACTCACTGCACCACTGTCCCACTAGGGACATCATCCCGAACAACACAGACAGGAATCCCTGCCCTCGTGGCCGTCGACTGTGAATGGTCAAGGCATACCTGAACCGCAAGGTGCCACCAGACCTGGCTGGCCGCAAGTCTCTCCCGTACTTCCCCCCACTCCAGTCACCCTGGCCTCCCAGCTCTTCCTCAATCCCAAATCCGACCTCAGGGCCTTTGCACTGGCTGTTCCCACAGATATCCGGGTCACCCTGTTCCTTCCCGTCAGTGAAACGGTACTGAGACCGTCTTCCGTGGAAAGGCTTCCTTCCTAGAACAGAGCCTCATGCTCAGGGAACATCAGTCACGCGGCTGACTGTCTCCTGCTCAGAGGGAACCTTCCCAGACCATCCTGCCCAGAGAGCAATCCAAATGACTGTCGATCCTGATCTGTGTCATCCTGGCACCGCAGTGATGTAGGCGCACCTGAAGACGCCCACATTTGAAGTGTGGCCAAGTCCCGGGAACAACTGAAAGGGGACGGAGCTTCCTGGACACCCACTACCGATCTTTGCTGCTTTTGTGTGTACCTGAGATGGTCCATCATTGTGAAGTTGTAGAATAAGAGGAAGCATGAATTCATTTGTCCCCAGCATCTACTGCTTCCTGTTCCCTTCCCCTCAGTGACCTCCCTTCTTAGCACATAACGTTGCCGCTGTGAAGTGACCTCCCGCTGGCTCTGACTCAACATGACATATCTACAACGGAACGAAGGGCTGCCGGTCGGGTCCTGTGCCATCTTCCTAATTGTTCTAATGAAGCCGCGGTGACAGTCCATCTCCTAAGGCTCTTCGCGTTTTTTTCCGCTCCCCCTCTAGTTTACTAAGTCTGATGTCCTCTTCCGGGGACTGGTCATTCCCGACAACATGCCCACCGTATGTGAGACAGCCTAACCATCCTGAATTATAAGGGGCATTCTTCTGGCTGTACTTGCCCCAAGGCAGGCCGGCTTGTTCTCTTGGTGGTCCGCGGTGCTATGTTTTCCTCTCCAGCTCCCTCAAACACAGTAGTTCTTCCCCCATCTTCCTCCTGCCTTGTCCAAATTCCACATGAACGCAGAAGTGATTGAAAATATCATGGCATGGGGCCGGCGCACCTTCCCGTTTCCCTGAAAGTAAGACATCCCCCCGAAAATAAGACCTCCCTAAAAATAAGCCCCCCACCCCCAAGCTACCGTAACTCTGGACTCTGGACCATAGTGGCGGGCGCTTCCGTGCAGCTCACTGTCGGCCGCAGTGCAGCCAGAGCAGACAGGAAGTGTGAGGTCTCTTTTAATAAAACAATGTACAATAAATGTGTACCGTATTCTTCTTCATGGAAAAATAAGCTATCCCCTGAAAATAAGACCTAGCGCATCTTTGGGAGCAAAAAATTAACATTTTAAGACACTGTCTTATGCTCAGGGAAACAGGGTAGTCCTCAAAGCGACAGCCTTGTTCCTCAAGCGGTCTTGTCAGCAGCAGATTTGCCCACGGCCAGGAGTCACCTTGCCCTCTTGACGGCTGCTTCCACGGACGTGGATGGCGGATCCCAGCAAGATGAAATCCTTGACAACTTCCGTCTTTTCTCTGTTTACTAGGATGCCAACGATTGGTCCAGCTGTGAGAAGTGTGTTTTCTTTCACCTGGTAGTTTTCCAGAGATTCATTTCTTTACCTTTCAGTCTAACTTCCTCAGGGCAGAGAGTCTGATCTAGTTTGTTCTTCAGGCATCTCCAGGATCCAGACGAGTGCCTGACCCACAGCAGGCGCTCCCCAAACAGGGAAGAATGTGATTCTTCCTCTTACTGCCACTGAGCTGCTTCTGCCTCGCAGTGATCCTGTGGGGCAGGCTCGCACAGCCCCTGTGGTTTCTAAGGCTGTAACTCTTTATGGGATCAGAAACCCTCCTCCTTCTCCCGTGGGGGAGCAGCTGGTAATTTTAAAGTGCTGACCGACTTCAAGGTTAGCAGCCTCGCTCGTAACCCACTTACAAAACAAGTGTTTCATAAAGACTCTCCCCTTTGGGCAAGACAGAACATAAGAGATGGATATGGGTGTGTCCCGTATGACCCTCTCTGGAAGGAAACACAGAAATATACAGGCGCTATCAGAGATGGGGTGACCCTGCGCAGCCCGTTTTCAAAGTTTGAGTTCACGTGCCTCTGTTCAAAACCCCATCAGGACAGGACAGGAGAGGTTGGGGGTTCACATGAGTGAGTACAAGAATGAACACAATGTCCTAAAACCGCGGTGAAGGCTGCAGAGCGCTTTTGAATACAGCTAAACCGCTGTATGCTACACGGAGATACGTCAATACAACTTGTCTCTGTGCTTGTTTTCTTAAGCCCATCCTTAACTGTGCTCCTTTGAAAAGAAAATCGCCTATCTGTCAACAAGTCAACAACTACTTTCAAAGAAAGACAAGCAGGTAAAGAGCTAGAGAGACAGAAACACCGGGAGACAAGACCCGCGGTTCCCAGAGCTGTCGCGCACCTGGAAGAAGTCAGGAGGCTGAGATCCCTGCCTAGTCGCATCCGGATCATGCTGAGCCTCGGTGTCCCTCTCGTGAAGAAGGACAGTGTGCAGGATCCGTGCTGGTGTTGTTCACTCAAGGGCCTCGGGGACGTCAGGAGGTCCTTGACCTTCACAAGCCCCGTCCTTGACCTTGACAAGCCCCACTGCCACCCTGTCCACCTCTGCTATG